TAAATGGGAATTAGAGACACTGAAATGATTTGGTGAAGGCAGCATGGTTTCTGAGAGTAGCCTCTCTTACTGAGAGAAGTTCAAAAGGAAAGGAGCAGACTCCGAAGCAGCCGGGGGAGGTCTGCAGCCAGGCAGCCCCTGCGCTCTTACCAACGCCAGTCTCTGTATCAGACTGATTCAGAGAGGAAAGCATGGCAAAAAAAGAAAAAACAAACAGTTACCAAACTGTGACCAGAGCTTCAGACCGAAGATTCTCCAGTACATCTAAGTGAAGCAAAAGGAAAAATCTCTTGTACAAGTACACGCATAAAAAGCACACACCCTGCCTGACTTGGCTAGCTGGGAGTGGGCAACTCATTAGTGCAAACAGCACAAGATTCAGGTCTCCTCCTTGCACAGGACTTACCCCAACTACACTAAGGCGCAATATGGGTTTGAAACAGAAGAACTAGTCATGAGTAACTCCTCTGAGGCCACAAGATTGTACCTTTTTCTGTTTTATCTTTATCAAGTCTGACACATGCTTGTGGACCTATATTCTGTGCCTATGAGAGGGATGGGGCACTTAAGAGACTCAGAAACCATCAGGAATAAACAATACAAAGCATGGCAAAGAGCAGATGAAAGGCACGTGAACGAGTCAGATGAATGAGAGCAGAGAAAAAAAAAAGCAGAGCATAAAAACAAATCAGTGGGAAGAGAAACAAGGCAGTGACAGCATCCAAGAAAGAAGAATCTTCTGTATAGCCCCTATGGCCAGGTGTGTGCTTGTAGCACTGTCTCCCTGCCCTGGGGAGGTATGGTTTGATCGTTTGGTTCAAGCAGCACAGAGCAGGGAAAAGCAGAACTGAATGAGCCAGCTGTGACCACAATTTGAAAAACTAAGTCCAGAGATAGGTAGTTTTCACAAGCTTCACCGTTAGCAAAGAGGGCTGAACCCAGCTACCCTCCAGCGACCCCTCTAGCAACCATAGGGTCGAAGAGCTGTGGTGAGATGCAGCCTGCGGGAAGAGAAAACATCCTGCATTTTAAGTTAGCGTCGTGAAAACACAGTGCACGGAGCCCTCCCGCATCTGGGGACAAACAGATCCATCGCCTCCGATGCCTGCTGAAATTCAGAGCTGCAGAGTAAAAATGGCAAGAAATTGATCAGTTTAACTGTGGCCCCTACATGGGAAAAGGACGTTTATAAAACAGTCACTGTTCTCATTCACAGAGCAGAGGATGCAAAGGCAGAGACCAAAGAAGAGCAGCACAAATATTTTTCCTCTTTGTAGCAACAAAGATGCCTCAAGAGTAGGGTAAGTGAAGCACTGAGTAGTAGCTGCCTGTTTCCCTTCTCCCTTTCTAAAGCTAAACACTGATCGGACACGTTCCATGCAAGGAGAGATACAGAGGCAGCCTTTTAGCAGGACACAGAGCTAGCTTGCTGGGAAAAGCCACAGAACAGCTGGGCTTCCACCACTGCCCCAGGGCCATCACCACAACGGTCTCCCTCCCGCTTGCGAGGATGGGCTTCGGCTGCCCGAGCCGCAAGCTATCCGGAAGGTTTCAAACCTCAGCTGTAAACTAGAAACAGTTTCCCATTCGTGCATTTCTAACTCTGCAGAGTGCAATGTTTACTGTTGCTGAGGGCTAAACAGGGGTCAGCGAGCAATACTACTAGCGGTGAATTATTTATGTGCTGTAGCATGGAGATTCAGGGTCATGGCCACGGGAAGAGAATATTCTGGGTCACCCCACCTTGCTACAGAGAAATGCACCCAGCTTCGAAAACAAACAGCTGATATTCCTCGTTCAGCGTCAAAGATTCCCTAACTCCTTCCCACAGTGACAGTAAAGCAAATGCTCTGCCCACTGTAGAAATGCTTGAGCAAAACTACCCCGACAAATCGACGAAAACAAACCATCCTCACAAACGCAGGCAGAAGGCAACGGCAGAGCAAACGTTGCTGGGTGCTGTAACTCCCAGAAATCACCCACAGTTTCCACCTAGAGCCCAGCATGGATTAGTTCTGGCTGCGTAACTCCAAAGCAAGATCCAGACAAGAGGCAGTCCTAGACGGTCAGGCTGAAAGGTCCCATAATCATTAAAAAAATCAGCTAAGGTTAACGCATTACAAGTGATTCTGCAAAGGACGAATATTTTAGCTCCTGTTTTTCAAAGCACTTCCACTTACTGCTCTTACAAATGAACTTAAGCATCGGTTACTGGCGCTGCTCAGCCCGGAGTCACAGCAGTGTCTCTGCTTTAAAGGTGCGTGGCAGTGCCTGAAAACAAGACAGATTTTCAGCTCTGAAACGCACATGCATATCTCAGCGCACAGCCAGCCTTCCATTTCACACGAGAGCCACAGTTCTCCTGCGAATTTGCAAACCCTGCTTTCTATCAGAAGACATAAAATGAGCCCTGCCTCCATCAAAATGCTCTTTCTAACTGAGTTAATAAGGATTTTCTGTAAAAGCGGGATGGGAACTTAGGAGAGAAATAACATCTACCCACAGCACTGCTAACCAGCCATTCATGATGAAATAAAATTTAAAGTGTGATCTTGCTTATGGTGAAGGCAGGGAAGCCTTGCTTAACCTTCCCTGGGTGCGGGATGCTGTTCTACGATGGGCTATTTCTAGTCCACCGTCATAATTTCTGTTTATATTGTCGGTCTCCTCATCCCGGAGGTTTTGGTGGGATGCACGCTGCGATGTAATGCACTTGTCATCACTACAGTGAATTATTCTGGATGTTACACTTCAATTGACACAACCTCAAACAGACAGAAACATCTGACTACATTCCGATTTTCCCCTGCTCTACCACTCAGCAGCCGTTCTCAGAGACAAAGACAAACCCTTCCACTCCTCACATTTACATTCTGCTTCGGGCACTGATGGCATTTTTCCTCAGACTGATGCAGACCCTGCCTGCTGGAGATGCGCTTCATAATATTTAAACCATCATGCAATGTTGATCAAGTTCAGGTAACACAGCTCCGAAAGGTATAATCTTTTTACAGCTACCGTATTATAGAAGTCAATCAACTCCTTTAAAGTGCTCTGAAAGTCAAGCTTTCCAAGCACTCAATCTGCCATTCATACTTCCGCACACAGGTGAATCATTTTACCACAACTCATCTAAATAAAGGAAAGCAAGCATCAAAGAAATGAAAACATCAGGAATATTTCAGACGAGCCTGCCAACACTGCCTGTGATTTCAGAGGGCGCAGGAGCCAACCCTGTAGCACACTGGAGCTAGAGCAAAAGTAACCTATGGGCATCCCAGTCCGATTTCCAAATTTAGTGGGAAGACAGGGCCCAGAGAAAGTTGCCCCGAAGCCACAAGAACTGGGTGGTTGGGGAACTAGCTCTTAGTTAAGAAAATACTTAAAAGAGTCTTTTTTCTGACTAAGCTACTTTCAGGACCCTTCACGCAAGTGACCTAAAAGATCTTACAATGTTTTTAGCGCTGTGAAGCTATTTTCTTGCCAAGGCAGAGCCCGGGGGCAGGGGGGGTTTGGGGTGGAATACGTGGGCCAGACCCCCAGCACATGTAAACCCACACCACTTCTTGTCCTCGCTGAAGACATGGTAACCACAGCAGCCAGCGCCCCGGGTGTGCGTAGTCGTACAAAGGGAAGAGTCTAAATAAAACACATCTTCCCAAATAAATAAAAGCTGCGTCGTCACTCATCTCTTTTGCTTTGTAAGAAGATAAAATTTCTTCCCCCAGACTCTGCTGATCGCGACTGAAGTTCAGCCTTAAGAATATGGGCAACGGTTTTAATTGTTTTGATTAAAATTTCTTAATTAAAATAACGTTTATGAAGCATTAGCTGCTAGGGAGAAGGGCTTTCCCCACTCCTGCTCACAACTCACAAAGATGCTCCTCACCCATTTTTATGCTCAGACCTAGGAACCTCTTGGGTCTGTCACACACAAGAAGCACGCATCACTTGGAGGGACTTCACCGAAAAATAAACACGGACTGAGAGAGTGGGTGCATTTGTCCAGGAGAATCGTTACGGAAGCCCGAGCTTCGGCTTTTAAACGGGGTTTTCTCTGACACATCAAGAGCGTTTTCTCTTACTAAAGAAACGTGTGAAACCACTGAGGAGAGGGTATCAAACTCCTCCAACAGCCGGCCAGGGGGGACAGGCTACCAGCTCGACTTCTCGGCATTTAGGGGGGAAAAGAAAGAAAAAACAAAAGAAAAAGAGTGCTCCCGGGTACC